AGGCGGGCCGCGCGCGCACATTGCTCGATCATCCCGTGGTGCCTCAATTGATTAACTACTATTTGCTCAAGAACTGCCGAAACATGAGAAAGGAAAATGAAACACATGAAAATATCAATAGAAAGAATCAATGATAGTAAGAAGAATATTATTATTAATAATGGTAAACAAACAATGGTAATAGTAGTTACAATCGCAACAAAAAAATCAACAATAGCAATAGTAATAACACTAGTCCCTACAGTACCCTTGTAAGGAAGAATCTTTCATGTTTGGGAGGCTTCTCAAGCAATTCGTAGTTCAGTGATCAACAAGCAGGGGTTTCAGGTTTAGGGTCTAGACTTTGGTGTTTGGGGCTTAGGGCTTAGGGCTTAGGGCTTAGGGTTTAGGGTTTAGGGTTTAGGGGTTAGGGTTTGGGGTTTAGGGTTTAAGGTTTAGGGCTTGGTGTTTAGGGTTTGGGCTTTGGGGTCTGGGGCTTGGGGTTTGGGGTTTTGGGGTTTTGTGGTTAGGGTTTATGGTTTAAAGGTTTAGGGTTTAGGGCTTGGGCTTTGGGCTTTGGGCTTTGGGGTTTGGAGTCTACGGTGTGGGGTTTGGGCTTTATGGCTTCCGGGTTTAGGGGCTTCAGGGTTTGAGGGTTCGGTGTGTAGGGTTGAGGGTGTTGGGGTTCAGGGAGTTAGGATCTTCGGGTTCTGGGTTTGGGGCTCTGGTTTTGGGATTTGGCTTTGGGGGCCAGGTATTAGGACCTAGCCCTAAACCCTAAACCCTAAACCCTAAACCCTAAACCCTAAACCCTAAACCCTAAACCCTAAACCCTAAACCCTAAACCCTAAACCCTAAACCCTAAACCAGACTTGGGGATCAGGGGTTTGGGTTTAGGGTTGAAAGTAGCTGTTGAAGAGGCCAGCCGATGTGGCATCCTTGCCCTACATTTCAGAGATCCTTTGTCAAGGGCGCCCATGTCAAGTTCATGGGGACTGAGGGCAACCACTTGTAGTTCTACTAGAGTTTCGGGCTTAGGGTTCGGGTTTAGGGTTTCGGGTTTCGGGTTTAGTGTTGAGGGGTCAAGGGCTTGGAGTTCAGGATTATGAGGCTTCGGCAGCTCCCCCACGAAAGAGTTCTTCTTCCGGCATCCCATCACAGAATGGTACCCCTGAACCCTATACCCTAAACCCTAAAAGGTTTAGGGTTTGTGGTTGGTGGTCCACTTGCTTTGTGCGCCGATGGGCGCTCTTATACTTAAATGTTGAGGGCGCAATGGAGTAGATTGGCTACACCCTGGACCCCAGACCCTAAACCCTAAACCCTAAACCCTAAACCCTAAACCCTAAACCCTAAACCCTAAACCCTAAACCCTAAACCCTAAACCCTAAACCCCTAAACCCCTAAACCCCTAAACCCTAAACTAAGCCTAAGCCCTACCCCACAAGGTGTGCCTCGCCCCAGTCGTTTCCATCGGCGTGCTGGCAGCAATGACTCCTGGCTTGACAGGCTTCACCCTGAACCCTACACCCTACACCCTACACCCTACACCCTACACCCTACACCCTACACCCTAAACCCTAAACCCTAAACCCTAAACCCTAAACCCTAAACCCTAAACCCTAAACCCTAAACCCTAAACCCTAAACCCTAAACCCTAAACCCTAAACCCTAAACCCTAAACCCTAAACCCTAAACCCTAAACCCTAAACCCAAAGCCCTAAACCCTAAACCCTAAACCCCTAAGCAAGAACTCAGGGCCCTCCTTCCCAGCTGGGGCTGCGCTCCAAGCCTCCAGCTCGACTCGCAGAGTGGGGCTTGGCCCTTTAGGGTTTAGGGTTTAGGGTGTAGGGTTTAGGGTTGAGGGTTTAGGGGTTTAGGGGTTTAGGGTTTAGGGTTTAGGGTTTAGGGTTTAGGGTTTAGGGTTTAGGGCGTCTCGCCGCGCAGCGGCAGTAAGTACCATGTGTAAATGGCGCCCCTACACACCCAGGGGGTGTGGGGGGGCGGCATGTCACGCGAAGGCATCTGTTTTCAATGTAATCCAACAATTTCATTGGTGCTGGGTTCTTTCTCCCCACCCGCTGTGAGCTTTCACAGGCCACCACCCAAACCACTACCTTTTAGGGTTTAGGGCTGTCGCCCTCAATTCCCACCATGAAACGATTCAAATCTCGTGAAACCAAACAGGGGGGAGAGGGGGTTTAGGGGGGCGGGCCAGGTGGGGGTGGGGCAGGGGGGGGGGGGGGGGGGGGGGGGGGGGGGGGGGGGGGGGGGGGGGGGGGGGGGGGGGGGGGGGGGCCAGGACCTTTTGGGCGGTTTTTGGCTCCGAAAAGGGTGCCTCCCCCATGCAGACCCCGGATTTCAGCATTTTCTGCTCGGGGTCCAGGGGGCCTCCAGAGGGGGGCCCAGGGGCTCCAGATTGGGTGGACTTGAGGGCTTTGCGCCTGCGTTTTAGGGTGTTCTCATGAAGATAAGGATCGGAGGATCCCTGTGTAAATATGGGCGCCACTCTGGTGGCCTAATGGCAAGGCGAGCCCGAGGGGCTCTCTATTCGACCATTCTCCAATGGCTCCACCCATTGTTTATCCAGTCAAGGTGTTCATCACTGCCGGATATCTTCTGGGTCCAGGCACCCTAGAAAAGGGTGGGTACGGCCGAAGCAGGCCGGGTGGGAATTTAGGGTTTAGGGTGTAGGGGTGTAGGGTTCAGGGTTTAGGGTTTAGGGTTTCAGGGTGTATCCTGAGCTTGTTCTGACCTCAAAGACCTACAAACCTAAGCCCTAGCCCCTCAACCCTAAACCCTAAACCCTAACGCCCTAAACCCTAACCCCTAACCCCTAAACCCTAAACCCCTGTGCGACCCGAAAGGTCGCCCCGAAAGCACTGAGGTTGATGTGTTGAGAATGCCACACGGAAGCCTCAACGGGCCTAAACACCCTCAAGCCCTCATGGGTTTAGGGTTTAGGGTTTAGGGTTTAGGGTTTAGGGTTTAGGGTTTAGGGTTTAGGGTTTGCTCAAACCCTAGACCCTAGATCCCGAAACCCTTAATCCTCAAGCCGTGATGTTGGAGTGTCCTAGGGCCCAGAGTCGGCCCTTTCTCCCCTGTTTGTTCAGCCTTGCAGCCTTGAGAAGCCCCTTTAAACCAAAAAGGGCCCCTAAACCCTAAACCCTAAACCCTAAACCCCAAACCCTAAACTCTTGTGTTTGGCTTGAGGAAGCTCCAGCAGAAGAACTTTAGAATGGCCGAGGAAGACTGAGATGTGCACACTGAGGCTGCTCGATAGGTTGAGTGGCCCGGTTTTAGGGTTTTCGTTGGGTTTTGGTAGGGTTTTTGAGGGTTTAGGGTTTAGGGTTTTTGAGGGTTTCGCTTACCGGAAAGTCTCCCACCAGCCTGAGCCTGAGTACAGACCTGACTGAGGGGTCATCTTGGGTTCAAGCACTTGCTTGCTCCAGAGCTGCAGAAACCTGAAGCCTCTAAACCCGAAACCCTAACCCCTATAAACCCTAAACCGAGCACCGTCCCAAGATGCCCCGTCTGAAGCAGGGTGACACTGTGGCGCTTGCGCAGACAGTCGCCCTTCAGGCACACGGACACATGGGAGACCGACGCCAGTTGGTTTCTACAGGGCCTGCCAGGATAAGAGTCGCACGATGCCCTATAGAGCTAAAACCTAAACCCTAAACCCTAGACCCTAGACCCTACACCCTAAAGGTTAGGTCTAGTCCAATGTTGTTTATGCCCTGAGAGAAGCCCCCTTTTTTCTTCACCAGGCCGAGACCGCCAGAAAATCTACATAGTAGATCTGGCCGCCTGCGGCCTTTTCCTAAGGGTCCATGTACCTATATCGTACATACTTGGGCCCTAAAGCTACTAAAAGGAAACCCCTTTTTGAGGCCCAGTTATATACCATTATAGGTACATGGACCCTTAGGGTTTTCAGACTTCCTCTCGCCGTTTCCAGCACTTTCGGAGTCAGAGGATGAGTCTGGCTTTGAAGAGAGACTATTTGGCCGACGACCGAGACCCCCACAAGGTGATTCCTTCTCAGGAAATCTACTTGCGGGTCCAGGGGTAGTTTATGAGTAGGGCTATAAGTGCCCTAAACAAGGTTATAACCGCTTATAACTATAGCTATCCCAATGAGAGCCCCAGTTTTCAGTACCCCTGAACCTCCAAGTACGTGTGGGTCGAGGGAGGTCAGCAAAGACTCACGTAGCTCGCTGGAAAAAACGTCCGCACGCGTTTGGGCGGTAGGCAAGGACTGAAGGGATTTAGGGAGTTTAGGGCTTGAGGGAGCCATAAGGTAGCTCCCCTTTTTTTGTTGGCAAGGGCTCCTCCCTTTAAGGGGGGGCTTCTTATCCCAGGGCCCATCCTTTGAAGGACCTAAGAAGTGGGTAGGGTGTCTTCTACATCGTGGCCCTTTTTCGCCAGTTTCTTTCTGACAGTAAAGCCCTAAGCTCTAAGCCCTAAACCCTGAAGCCGTGAAGCCCTTATCATTGTTTAGGGCAGCTAAGAAGCCCTAATACTTCAGGTATCCCCCAAATCCCTGACCCTCAGCCGGACACCCTCAAACCCAAATCTCGGACCCTACTTGAAGGTTCATGGGTAGTTGTAAGTAGGGTTGCAAGAATCTCAGATAGGATCATAACCAGTTCTATCCATAGCTTCCCTATCCCCAAGCCCACTTATGATTCTGAGCTCCCATAAACCCTGACCCCCCCCCCCCCCCCCCCCCCCCCCCCCCCCTTAAAACCCTAATCCCTAAACCCCCACCTTAGCCTTGATCCCCAAACCGCCCCCCCCCCGTCCCCGTCCAAACCCTAGTCAGAAACCCCCACCTAACCCTTAATCCCGAAACCGCCGCCCCCTCCACCCCTCCACCCCCTCCCTCTTTTACCCAACCCGAAGCCCTAGACCCTAGAGGCCAAGGATGATCTCGGGTTCAGGGTTCAGGATTCACTTCAGGGTTGAGAGTTGAGGGTTTAGGGTTTAGGGTTTAGGGGACTGTCTTTACCTGACAGGAGCACCAGCGCCGGGCCGCGCAGCTCGAGGTGCGAAGCTTCAAAGCCGAGATGCTTTGCGGGTTTGGGTTTAGGGTGTAGGGTGTAGGGTGTAGGGTTTAGGGTTTAGGGTTTAGGGTTTAGGGTTTAGGGTTTAGGGTTTAGGGTTCAGGGTTTGGGGTTTAGGGTTTAGGGTTTAGGGTTTAGGGTTTAGGGTTACTTGGAGGTTCACGGGTAGTTAGAGGTCGGGGTTATAAGTAAGGTATCTTTCTGGCTGGGTCATAACATAGCCTTCAGGGTACTTATAACACTACTTAGAACTACCCCTGAAACCCTGAACCCTAAACCCTGAACCTTCAAGTAGGGCGCCCTCGTCTCTACCGAGCCCGCAGCCATTTTCCCAGGAGCAACCCCCCCCCCCCACCCCAGCGTTCAGGGTTTAGGGGTCTAGGGGATTAGGGGGCTAGTGTTTAGGAAAGCAGCCCTAACCCCTAAACCCAAATGCCACGAACAGAAGCCCACCTCCCGCGTAATTAGAACGTTTCGGGTTTGGGGTGGAGGGTCGACCTAGTAGCCTTGTGCCACAGATAAGGGTCAATAAATGGAAAAATGCGTGTGCCCCTCCCCCCAGAAAAGCAAGAGAAGTAAAGTAAAGTATATATATATATATGTATATGTGTATATATGTATACGTATATATGTATACTGTATACACACTCACCCCAAATAAAGGCACATCACATGTCTGCGGGTATGCGGTATACTCTGTTTATAACTTCATCACCTTCACCTTCACAGGGTTCGTGCCTCTGTGGGTTTGGCAGGAGCTTGTTGCCAACTTTGCCCTTCATCAGGGCTCGGGGCTTAGGGTTTGGGGTGCAAGTAAACCCTAAACCCGAAAAACCCTAAAACCCTAAAACCCTAAAACCCTAAAACCCTAAAACCCTAAAACCCTAAAACCCTAAAACCCTAAAACCCGAAAACCCTAAAACCCTAAAACCCTACAACCCTAAAACCCTAAAACCCTAAAACCCTAAAACCCTAAAACCCTACAACCCTACAACCCTAAACCCTAAAACCCTAAAACCCGAAACCCAGGGCCCAGGGCTGAGCGTGCCTTGCCAAATCGCGCGCGCACATTGTCAATCGCCGCGCATAGATTCTCATCTCAGTATGTCAGGCCACCCAGGTGGCATCTATCAAGACATGGCCCATCCACCTTAAGGCTCAAGGTTTAGGGTTTGGGGTTTAGGGTTTAGGGTTTAGGGGTATTCCCCAAGCAAGCAGGACTCTAGCCTAAAAACCGACTTAGCAACTCTTCTGCTGAAGAGGCAGCACACCAAAGGAACACGCAACTGGCTGTGACGACAGAGGCTGCTCGTGCATTGTCCGCTGCCATGGGAAGTGCTGTGGCATCGTTCATTGGCGCCTCCGAAGCCGAACAAGACTCAGAAGCTTGGCAGCCCAGTGATACCCTTTACTTTTTTTTTTTTTTTTTTTGGGGGGGGGGGGGGGGGGGGGGGCGGGGGGGGGGGTTCATATATATATATATATATATATATATGGTAAAAAGATGGTTTTTGGAGGTCTTGTCCTGGAAAAACCATCTTTTTCTCGAGAAAAAGATGGTTTTTGGAGGTCTTGTCCTGGTAAAACCATCTTTTTCTCGAGAAAAAGATGGTTTTTGGAGGTCTTGTCCTGGTAAAACCATCTTTTTCTCGAGAAAAAGATGGTTTTTAGAAGAGCGGCTGCTCAAAAACCATCTTTTTCTCAAGAAAAAAGATGGTTTCGAACCAAAAAAACCATCTTTTTCTCGAGAAAACCAAAAAAACAATCTTTTGGAGGCCCCAGCCCCATAGTTTTGGAAAAGATGGTTTTTTTGGTTTTTTTGGTTTTTTGGATTTTTTTGGTTTGTTGGTTTTTGTTAGTTTCTTGTTTTGTTGTTTTTTGCCTTGATCTGGCTAGGACTCGGCTGCCATCCGCGGTGGGTCCATTGGGGGGGGTGAGCATATATATATATATAAAATATCCAACCCAAAAGTGGTACTCTTTACATTTTTTTTTGTTTTTTTTTGGGGGGGGGGGTTCTGGGTTCCCTTGTAAAATAACCAACCCAAAAAGGGTGCCCTTGTTATAATATGGTTACTGGGCTACCAAGGAAGCATACTATGACTGGCAGCAGTTGCGAGAAGCCCGCTCCTATCCAAACTGGAAAGAGGACGACTGCCGACCACAAGACGAGATTGACCATCGGCCGTCGGGAGGGCCAAAACTGTCGTACCTCTGGTGCGAAGATGTCTTAGCAGGACGGGTGCCAATTTTGAAGATCAAAAGGTCCAAACGTGGCAGGCTTTCAGCCCCCCCCCCCCCTCCCCAACCCTGAGAATAAGGACGACATGGGAGTCTCTAACATATTTTGTTGTGGGGGTTCCACGAATGCTCATTTTTGAACATGTATAGGGTTTCGGGTTTAGGGTTTCGTGGGGTTGCCCATCTGAACAATTCGAAGGCGGGAGGAGGGGGGGACACAAGTTAGATCCTCACCAAAACACGCTTAAAGAAAGAATCCTTAAAGCTAAAACCCCCCAAAAGCTTAAACCCTCAAAGCCCCCCAAAACCTAAAAGCCCTAAAATCACCAAAAACAAAGCCCTAAAAGCCAAAATGCTCTATACCCTAAACCCGCCCCGAAACCCCAAAACCCACAGGGCCTCATTTGAGCTGCATTGTGTTCAAGGCCTGAAGTATTTCCTTAGGGTCCATACGGGGGGTTCACGAAAATAGGGGACCTCCAAAATAGACCCCAAATAGTGGGATCCCCCCACCCTATTTTCGGAAAGCCCCATGTCGGAAAGCCCCATATGCCCATATAGGCAGGGATTAGGGTTTGAGGTTTGGGTTTCGGGTATAGGGTTATACTTGGGACCTGTTCAAGGCCCTAGCATAAGGCTACATAGACCCTGCATGCCGAGTCTCGCAGGACAGACCCTCTATCTCGGCGGGAACGTAGGAGTGGACGGCCAGCTCCTTTGCTCCTTCTTGGGAGAACGGTGCACTTGTTGGGCTGGGACCGGGAGTAGGCCCTTATTTCCCTTTTTTGGCGATTGGGGTGCCCCTTTTTAATCCCCTTAGAACCAAAAGCGTACCCTTTTTTTCCTGGGTTACTCCTGGGTCTAGTGGGGTCTGGCGTTCCGAACAGGGTTCTGGGTTTAGCAAGGAACCAGCCCCCCACCCCCACAAACTCGGAGTTGGTCGCTTGGTTGTTCCTTTTATGCAGTGTATTCTCCGTAGTATAAGGACGCCCGAGAAATTGAAATCCCTAAGCCCTAAACCTTGAAACCCTAAACCCTAAACACAAGAGATTTGGAAACTCCTATTTGTTGACCGAGGCTCTACTTCATCCCGGGGCATGCAAAACGAGTCACTGGGGCCTTGGGGATATTTTGTATTTTCCCCTCTTGGGCTTAAGAGGAAACCCTAAACCCCCTAAATCCTAAACCTTGAGGGTTTTAAGAGGCCAACCTAGGTCATGGTCTGCGATCCTGCAACAGACCGTGTCACGCAAACTGGCCCAGTCTTTCCTGGAAAGTTTAAGTGGCTTGGTAGCCCAGTGGTGCCCTTTTGCGCCCATTTTTTGGTTTAAGGTTCCCTTATAAAAGGGTTTAGGATTTAGGGTTTTGGGGTTCCCTTACAAAGTGGCCAACCCCCAAAAAGGTTACCCTTATTAAAATTCTGTTTCTGGGCTACCAAGGTGGCTAAGAGGTGTTAACGTCGATGGCGGGAAGATCTACGGCTTACCCTGCCACGCGGACACAGTGCTGTGCATCGACGTTCCGAGTGGAAAAGTCACGACCCTTCCTATTCCTTATGACGAGGTGGCCTAGTGATACCCTTTACCCTTTTTTTTTTGGGTTCTGAGTTCCCTTACAAAGTAACCAACCCAAAAAAGGGTGCCCTTACTTTAATATGGCTACTGGGCTACCAACTAGATCAGTGTTAGGGATCCATTTTACTTTTTGGGTTATGGGCTTTCTTATACATGAACAAAAAGGATCCTTTTTTTCTTCCTAGGGGAACAGGGATTAAGCGCCAAGATGACGAGGTCTACTCAGATCCTCTCCTGGCCAGGGAGCAGCGCCAGTGCAAATGGAAGTATCACGGTGGGACCATCTGTCCCATTGACACTTTGTGGTACTTTACTGCTTTACTGTAACTTTAGTTCTTTAGCCTTTTTGGGCTTATTGGGTTTCTTATTTACTGTAACTTTAGATCTTTAGCCTTTTTGGGCTTATTGGGTTTCTTATTAAGGCAGCTAAAAGTTTAATATTTTTTGCTACCCTCCCAAGTGCAGCCAAGGACAATGCCATCTACTGCATTCCGCAGTCAGCGCTGCACGTGCTGAAGATCCTGTTCATGCTCAGTATGTAAGCTTGAACTGCTTCTGGTGTATGTCGAAGAACCTTACGAAAGTCCATGGTTCACTCTCCCCCTTTCTCTAAACCCGAAGCCCTGAATCCTATCTCCCAAACCCCTTTTTGTTTTCCACCCTTTTTTCAGAAGCACGGGGAAGATATGAGCATTTCCCAAAATAGGGCGTACCCCGTTTATAACCCAAATGGAACCAGAATCCCCTTAAAGGAACCCCCAAATGGGGTACCCCAGTTTTCAACTAAACCCTAAACCCTAAACCCTAAACCCTACACCCCCCCCCCCCATTGTCTCAAGCCCAGGATCGACCCTGTCTCGGAGACCTGTCACCTCGTGGGACCCGAACTTCCTGGAAAGTACAAGTGGTATGGCGGCGTGGTCGGCCAGCATGACCAGGCGGTTTAGGGTTTAGGGTTTCGGGTTTAGGGTTTAGGGTTCCCTATAGAGGGGGACTTAGAATACATTTAAACTATGTTGGGGTCCTAGTTAATCCTCATTATAACCTCAAGAGGCCTACAGGGGGACTTAGAATAAATCTCATTTTAACTTGTTGTTGGGTCCTAATCCCGATTATAATTTCTAAGGACCCATGTAGGGGGACTTTGAGTAACATTGATACATTTTT